CCACTGTTCATTCTGATGAGGGTGGTTTCGGCACTGGCAGACGGTCCGGCCCTGTCTTTTGTAAGTCAGCAGTACCTTAAGAAGTTGGAAATGGACTTACCAGTACTACTTCCACTTCCAACTTCCTAAGGTACTGCCGACTTACACAAGACAGGGCCGGAGCGTCTGCTGCGGCCAAACCCGCCTTTTAAGTTGCTTGGCCAGGGCACCGTCCAGGTTAAACACTTTGCGGTGCCGTTGACATTCCGCGCTATAAACCGTCACGGTATACTTACCAAACATGACATTATACCACTTGGACCTGGATAGGCTGGTTTTTGCCTTCCTGCCTTCAAAATTTACATGAATTGACGTTTCCTCATCAAGTAAAGCGAAAACGATTCACTTTACGAAATCGTCAATGGAATTCCCACCCAAGCAGTTGAGGTAGGAGATCTAGTGCAAGTGGTAATTACCATATACAGAGCTTACAAGCTTATGGAAGAAGTTTTCGTCCAACAGCTGATTGCAAGAAGTCAGCTGCAGAAGGCACCTTTTGGGCTACTGGGTTACGTGGCAACTGTGGAGTACTCTGGGTATTGTTTTTGGCTGCTAAAGAATAAACACCTAAACCTGCCAAAGGCGTCCCAGTGTCTTACGCTGAGCCTCCTCAATCTTATCGATTCTTGTTGACGATTCCCGACTGAAGTTCACCAAATGGCGGCACACCAGTAACAACCCGTCGTAGATCGAGTATATTCCCCTGGCGGGTTCGTTGGTTAATTCTACGGAAGATGTTATATGTAAGGTGAGTTTCTACCGTCCACACAGATCTGGTCGCCCATGGGAATGGGTTCAGATGGCTCATCGGCCTGGTCGTCGTCGGGTGTTTCCTAAAAAGAACGACAGTGTTATCTGTGATGTCTTACCGGCAAAAATCCGAAGGTATATAGCCTCGTCAATGGCTGGCTGACGTTTACGTTGGGATAGTCCTCAGCTGGGTGTATCGGTCATAGCGATATCTAAAAACGCACAGGAAAAAAGGGATTAAAGTGTATAGATAATCCTCCTATGATCATACACCCCTTTCGGTCACAGGCATCCGCTTCTGTTGACTTTCAATTCATAGACTTACTCTCATCTCTGAGTAACTAATTTCAGCTCATATCCCTAAGTCTTTTCCGCCTTAGTAACTTAGCGCTAACACCAGCAACTAGTTTGAAAGAAAGTCGTAACCAGTACTGATTGCCTCGGTATACGATACCGGTTGTTGAGTGTTTAGTGCGATACCACCATTTTTGAGTAAGTTTATTGTTTCCCGTGACAATACGAAATAGACGAGGAGCATTTGTGCATTAAGGTCGAGTAAAAACCTGTTCTTTTAAAATGTGCCTTCCAGTTTTGGTTGAGACATGGTGTGCATAGATAAACTTTAAAAAATATATAAATTCCCGCAATTCAAATGGTTCTTTGTCATTATCCGTTTCAGGTGCTTCGAACCGTCGCTGGAATGTATTACCTAGTAGATACCCCAACGATCTTAACGGAACTTCCTGCAGAAAATGAGTGCATCATTGTTGCATCGGAAGATGACCGCTTTGTTGCCGTCTGTATGAACAATGAAATATGTTTTCATTGTCAAAAGGTATCATCTTTGAGTGAAGTAATGACTCTTCTCCCGCCGCAGACCTTTGCTCTTCTTGGTAAATACAAATGCAAGACACATACTATTGAAAACTTTGGGGATATCTCGGACCTCTGCTGGAATGAGACTGGTGACACTTTACTCATGCAGGTGAGTTCTTTTCACTGTGCTATTGAAACCCCTCCTCACAGACGTGTGATGGTTACCTTATACTGCTCATGCTTGCGGTAACTGATCTAGAGCCCGAGACTACAAGTGACAAGTAAGCAACCGTCCACACCATCTGTCTTACGTTACAGGAACTTTTCCCCGCAATTTGCCCTGGAGGTTAAAACAGTCAGAATCCTGAAACGTATTGGACAGGTCACATGGTTGGTTTACAAGTTGAATTTTCTAACTGTTATCTTAGTTTTGTGCATTCGGGCAAGAAAATAATCTCCAGCAACAGAAAAGGACGAATTTTCTGTATTACCTGGTCAGGTGATACCCTCGCCAACGAAGTTATGCAGCTGCACCATTTGGCTGTACAATCCGCCTTGGAGAATACAGCAGGTGGGTCTCGAGCAATCTCGCCTTAGAAACGCAGTAGCTGTCATTCAGAGAATAACGGTGTCACCTAAATTCATGGAGTCATTTGCTGTCAGAACAAATTCGAAATAATCAGCAGCAGTAACTGCCGAAGTTGTGTGCGCAGGTATTTTTGCGCTTAATTTTCGAGGGCTAGCCACACCAGGTCCTGTTTTTCTTCCTCGACTTCCCACTTTCCAACTATTTTCGGTGACTGGACCGTCCCCCCTAAGTAATAAAGGTGACCCTGTGCATAAACCTAGAAATGCAGAATATTACTGTGTCCTGACCCTTACACTAGCTTTAACATGAACCTAATACCTAATCTTAGTCCTAACTCTACTCGAAACCTTAACCCTATAGTTAAGACTTACCCTAACCGTAATCCGAACCCTAACATGTATCCTAACCTCAAAGTAATCACAAAATTTATCATAATCCACCCTACTCTCGGTGTAATTGGGCACAAAATCGCCTGTTTTGCAAACGATTTCGGGTCCCAAGACCTGCTAAGAGACCATGAAAATAATTATTCCTCCTTTAATTTTCCAAGTTTTTTTTACTAATCTT